GTGTGGATAAGGTCAAATTGTAAATAAACCACATGACTGATATGTTATATTTGGTTATATGTTATATGCTTAATTTTTAAGAGAATTTGGTTTGCCTGGCTGGTGTGGCTCAGCAGTTGAGTGTCCACTCAGGAACCAAGAGGTTGCCAGTTTGATTCCTGGTCAGGGCATATACCCAAGTTGCAGGCTCGATCCCCAGTAGGGGGCATGCAAGAGGCAGCTGATAGATGATGTTCCTCTCTCATTGATGTTTCTATCTCTCTATCCCTCTCCCTTCCTCTCTAAAAATCAAGTTTAAAAACATTTTTTAAAAGAAAAGGATTTCATTTACATAGAGAATTTTTTCTCTGGAGATGGTGTGATGATTAATCTTAAATGTCAGCTTGATTGGGTCCTTAGATGCCCAGAACAGCTGGTTAACCATTCTGTCTGGGTGTGTCTGTGAGGGTATTTCAGAAGAGACCAGCATTTGGTTTGGAGGACTGAGTAAAGCAGATTGCCCTCCCCAATGCAGGCACCATCCAATCCACTGAGAGCCTGACTAGAACAAGAGGAAGAGGACAGAGGGATTTACTCTCTGCCTCACCACTTTAGCTGGGACATGAATTTTCTCCTCCCCTCCATGCTCCTGGTTCCCAGGATTTCAGACCTAGACTGGAATCTACACCATCAGCTCTCTGGCTCTCAGGCCTTCGAAGAACTGCACTGCTGGCTTTCCTGGGTCTTCAGCTTGCAGATAGGAATAGGTGGGAAAGACCCTCCTGTATGAGTAGGGAGAAGAGAGGATAATGATATAAGCAAAAATGACAAATATGAACGTGTACGTCTAAGAGCTTCCTTGTCTGTTCCACAATCAATCAAAAACTACAGAGCATAGAGACAGGCATACAAAGAACAGGCTTACCCCAACAGCAAATAATACTTCTGTGTGCATCGATTGGAAGCTGAGGGAATTTGGGCTGTTACCATATCAAAACCCACCATGAGCTGCAGTTTGTGGCCTGACTTCACCTAGAAGTGAAAGGTGGGGAACTGCCTTCTTTCCTCTTTGCTACCTGCATTGACCCCCCGAGACTATCTCAGCCTAGTGTAGCCTGGGGTCATCATCAATGTTTAAACTTTCACTTCAAAGGGGGAAATCCATGTCCTGGCACCTGAGATTCCATTTCTTCAGGAGTTTAGGTCTGTTGCCAAGTGCCCTGGGACTGCCTTCAGGCCTTGCCAGTTCTCAGGTGAACTGAGAGGTTGGCAGTTCCAGGATGGAGCCCAGGTCTCCTGCTCCCTCTCAGCTAGAAGTAGACTCCTGGTTCCAGGAGCTGGAACTGACCCCAAATGACAGTGACCCAGACTGTGATAGAGGCAGTGATCCAATAGACCCACAGGGTTAATAATAGTTGTACAGAATAGGAAATTTTTTTTTCTATTTCTCTATCTTCACATGTAGACCAAGCACAAATCTCAAAATCTGAAAATAAATAAATGGAGTTT